AAGACCTCATTCTCTATTTTCCAAGGTCAGTGATTGTATCCAACTGACCTCATATCAAACATGGAAATACCTTTAGTAAATTTCCTCTTTATTAAAAATCTCACAGCATATACATAAAAACAAAAATTAACAATATTTGCTGTAGAATTGTCCAGACATGCCTGAGATTAAATATTGAACTAGTTTATACTATTAATTTACACCACATAAAATCCTCTCTTTTCCAATAATTTAGATGACCTCTTAAAACATATTCTATTTCAAAAACCCTTTAGTTTGCTTTACTTTTTTTTCTTATAAATGGAGTTGTTTTTGCTGTTCTTATTATTAAATGCAGGACTTGCCTTTCTGGTTATATAAGCATTCAAGATATATTATATACAGTACAGTGGGGCCCTCAACCTTGGCAACTTTAAGGTTTGTGGACTTCAACTCCCAGAATTCTTCAGCCAGCTTTGCTGGCTGAGGAATCCTGGGAGTTGAAGTCCACAAGTCTTAAAGTTGCCAAGGTTGAGGACCCCTGCAATAGATAATATATTTTTAAAAATTTGACTGTAAAGTCAACATATTGGGTTAACTATTAAAACACTAAACAATTTAGAGCTTGAAAAAAGAGATGTAGAAATACATTTCTTAATATCTGGAGAATGGGAATCACACACCTCTCCTTAGGCAATGTGTTGTGGAAACAGCAGTGCAGCACCATTAAGGAGATTATGCTGCTAGCTGAAGTAACTGAGCAGATTTATATAGACCAGTGTTTCTCAACCTTGACAATTTTAAGGCATGTGGACTTCAACTCCCAGAATTCTACAGCCAGCAATGCTGGCTGTGGAATTCTGGGAGTTGAAGTCCACATATCTTAAAATTGTCAAGGTTGAGAAACACTGATATAGACTATCCCTCTACAAGATAACTTAAATGGGTTCTCACTCTTCCCATCATTACTCTACATTTTAAGCTTGTAAACTATCTTGGAGGCCTCTTTCAAAGATGAAAAGGGTGGCATCTAAATAAATCAAACATGTGCAGGAAAAAGCCCAAAATGTAAATTGAGATCTAATTCTGCATCGAAGGAGCTTTATTATTCTGAGCCAACTACTTCACTCTATGTGACAAGAAATAACACACAAGAAAATCAAAGTAGCATATTCCATGCCATACGCAACCCCCTCCAGCTGCTTATCTGAATTAAAGAAAATGAACAGACCTACAGATGGCTCTCTACAGTAATCTGACAAAACAAATTATAGCCGATTTTTTGGATCCATTTGGTCTTCACAAGACAGGAAGGGAAAGAACAAATTTGGATAGAGCTGAGAGGAGGGGAAAAGTACCTGGGCATGGAAGGAAGGAGAAGAAAGAAATCCTGTTTAGGGTGAAAATATTAAATTCATCTGATAATCAATTTGCCCAAGCAGCATTAATATTTAAAGGAATCCACGTTTTGCACCCAGTTTCCTTTGTCTTCAATAGCTTTGATTCTTACCAGTGAAATTAAAAGTGAAATCCCAGATAATTATTTGAGGAAATAACTGCCACCTTCTATTGGATAAAAATGATGTATGCATGTTCAGCAATGAGACCAGGCTATGATCCATTCAAAATGTCTAGTAATATACATAAAAACTGCCTATTAAATCTACTGAGTGACACTGGCTTGGTAAACTTTGGGTTGATATTGGTGGATAAGATAGATTTTCCCTATTGGTTCCCAAGGACAGTTCTTTTCACAACTATCCATTTCTTCTTGATCCGTCCTTCATTATGAAAACTACAATGAATGGGAACATTGTCTCAGCTCACGTACACTTTCTAACAATTCTCTTCTCCCTGAAAATCTAAGATAACGTATAATTAAAGAAATATTATGTGCCCTTAAAGGACACAATTAAAGCTAAGCCATGCTGAAAATAGAAGAACTCCATGGGATTGACCTACATTTCAAACATTACGTTTGCGGCTTTTTCAAAATTTAACAGGTAAATGAAGCCACAAGACTAGTTACTGCATTTTTTTCTATTGAAAAGAGGTAAATAGTGCATGCTAATGGATATAAATATCTAAAGGAGAGCTTGCTTTAGATATAGGGGGAAAGTGTTTTTAATTTCACTCATTATCCTACAAATTAGGCATGTGCTTTTACATTGCGGGCCACCTGAAGTGAGTCTAAAATTATACCAGGGCAGAATTGCTTCCATCTATAAATTCCACTAGAAATCTTGTGTCTTATGAACATAGTGATTTTTTTCTGAATTATTATTAGCAGTTTTTCTCAGAATTGAAAATGACTATTTCTGTGGTAAGTTCAAAATTATTGTTATAAATGTGCAAATAATGCCACTTTCTAATTTTAGAAAATAACTGTATAAAGTGACAACTAAGGATAGCCTTATATTAATATTTAAATATGGCCTTATACATCTGAATAAAAGTTATTATAGAATTGATAGTTTTATTTTTGAATTTGTTCCTTACTATTTTTATAAAAGTCCCCTGTTTTACATCTGCTGATGTTTACTTTATTGATTTAAAAACTACCACACTCTTGACGCCCCCGACATTTTCATTATAATATATACCCACAACCTTGAGATTCCTTTTCTTGTCAATCCTTGATAATTGTAAATGCATGGCAGTGAAAGTTGGACCATAAGAAAGGCTGAGCGCCAAAGAATTGAGACCTTTGAACTATAGTGCTGGAGAAGACTCCTGTGAGTCCCTTGGACTGCAAGGCGTTCAAACCCGTCAGCCCTAGAAGACATCAACCCCAGCTGCTCTTCAGAAGGCCAGATCCTGAAATTGAAACTCAAGTATTTTGGCCACCTAATGAGAAGGAAGGACTCACTGGAGAAGAGCCTGATGCTGGGAAAGATTGAGGGCAATAGAAGAAGGGGACGACAGAGAATGAGGTGGCTGGATGGAGACACTGAAGCAGTAGGCGTGAGCTTAAATGGACTCCAGAAGATGGTAGAAGACAGGAAGGCCTGGAGGAATGTTGTCCATGGGGTTGTAATGGGTCAGAAATGACTTCGCAACTAACTATAACAAACAACATTTTACTATCATATTTACCATGTCTTTTTTATCTGAACTGACACCCCTCCCCTTTTCTACTTATTAACAATTCCTCTGGAGGAAAGACCCAGACTAATTTCTGAAGATAAATGTAGCCCTGAGGACTAGAAGTTTGTTTTACAACTTGCTAACTTTCCAGTTTAAAACCATTTTATTTTTTGCAGATTATTTTAAATTTATCATCACAATAAAAAGGGTATTTTGCACATTTCTATACGTGGTACAAGACAGGGAATTAATTTTAAAAATAAGAAAGTGAGGTCACTCCATGATGGACCTTCAGAATAAAACCTTTTTCTCCTACATAATGAATTACATCGTTTTAATTACCACAAGATACGGTGATGGCTCACAACCAAAGTTTCTTCAGAGAAACATTATACAAATAAATGATGGATAAATGAAGAGCAGCTGTAATCACTGAACAACACCTCCATGTATTGATGGCGTAATGCTCTAAAATAACATTTGCTGAAGAATAGAGAAGATAGTTATTTCTGCAAGCATCAAGTTAAGCACTGTGGGAAACAGGATCCTGGGATAGATATGCTTAAGTCTAATTCAGCCAGGTTACTCTTCTATTCGAGGCAATATTTTTAGAAATGTGGTTGCCATAACAACCTCTTTTTAATATTGCCAATGAAACCGGGATTCATGTGCAATCACATCAGCAACGCTCTTATTTCTAATACTCTTCTGTCAGTATAATCTCATAATCAATATATACTGGTATATAAACCATAAGGCCTGGAAGTAGGATGTAAATTAGAAAGTAAATTGGACTGCTAAAATGTACTGCACTATAGAACAATGAACATATTTAAGAGAACATTCTCGCTGAACAAGGAGTTACAGCCACAACAATTTATTACAAATGAATTAGTGTGTCAGTTTCTTTATTAAAGAGTCCTTCATCTCAGCCCTTTTTTTTCTTCCCAAAAGCTGGTGGGGAAAGTAATAAATTATCTAGTTAGTGGCCAAATGCTCATCTTTACTCCAAAATACAAGTTAGTTTAGTCATTGACACATTACTTAGAAGTAATTCTACTGAAAGAAAATAAGCATCCTTAAGACTACAATCACAGTTTTATAAGGCAAAAAAAAAAAAAAATACTGACACATTTTTTCCAACAGTCTTCTGGAAATTATACACAAGGAATTAGCAGCCATTCTCTGCAGAAACAAACAAGCAAACAAACATACACCAGTAGAGAGGAAGTAGTAAATACTTTCTCATTCACTCATGATCTTCCTTTAAATAGACTACCTCCCTAATGAATGAAGTGGAGAGTACTCAAGCATCTGGACTACTTGAGAGGAAGATAATATGAAAACAGCTGTTTATGAAGGAACATCCTTCTGAATGTTAAGCTTGTTTAAAAACTGTCCAAGAGTAGGGAAAAAAAACAAACCTGTCTTTGCAAAATGGGCAACAGAAATATAAAAACAATATTAAAAGCATATTCTTTTGAAAATAATAGCAAAATCTATATGGATGGGGAATTTTGTTGAGGGAACTCTATTTAGGAATGGCTACTTTCTTAGAGAAGCCATTATGTCCAAGCATCAACAAGTTTCTAATTTCATATATTTGATATGCAACATTTAAAGGAATCTGATGACTCAGGGTCAAAGGCCTTCATATAACATCAGAACAGACTGTGGAAATAAAAAGACAATTCATTGACAGATTTGACAATATTTTTATTTCTTAGAAATTCATGAGATAGGAGGTGTATCATCAGGATTGCAACCATAGTTGGGGATTAAGAATCAAATTAATGTCAGCTGCAAGGCAAGTTCTGATAGTGATTGGTGAGTAGCTTAATGTCTTCCATGAAAAATCAATACATTCAAATATACTAATTACCAATTCAAGTATCTTGCACTATATATTAGAACTTGGTATGGAGTTATCTCACCTTCAGGTGCATCTGCATCACAACCTTTGGATATGTATATTGTTTCATTGTTCAAGTGTCCTTCAAATGTCTTATTATTCTGCACAAAGAAGACATTAATTGAGGGTTATTTCATAGATAACTAATGCCATTGACACATCATGAATTTTATTTGGTGCAACAAGCATCGTGAGTCTTTTCTCTTTAAAAAGAGATACAGGTAGTCCTCAACTTACAACAATTCATTAGTGACCATTTAAAGTTACAACAGCACTGAAAACAGTGACTTATGACCATTTTCCACACTTATAACCATTGCAACATCCCCATGATCAAAATTCAGATGCTTGGCAACTGATTCATATTTATGATGGTTGCAGTGCCCAGGGGTCATGTGATTAGCTTCTGCGACCTTCTGACAAGCAAAGTCAATGGGGAAGCCAGATTCACTTAACAACCGTGTTATTAACTTACCAACTGCAGTGATTCCCTTAACAACTGTGGCAAGAAAAGTCACAACATGGGGCAAGATTCAGTTAACAAATGTTTCACTTAGCAACAAAAAATTTGGGCTCAATTGTGATGACCGGGTCATCAAGGAATGATTGAAAGTGCTTAGGAAACAAAGTCTACTTTGAATAGTATGATATACAGTAGTAACAGATTTACAAGCTTTGTAATACGGTGGCCCTCCGAAAACATAAAAGTATAAAATAAATTTGTGTGACACCCTCCTTCAAGAATAAAAGTAAAGAATTCATTAAGGCTAGGCCTGGGCAAAAAATAAATATATCACTTATACACTGTAGAAAGAAGTACAAGTCCTGTATGAAACCTATTGGGAACACATTAAAACATACGTGCAATTGGACCCTGGGGCCACTGCAATAAAATTGTTTTGGAGCCCTTGCTGTACACCAAGAGAATGGGAACATCTATGGGGCAACTACGATCCAAAAGGGAGGGTCACTACCACAAAGGCCTATTCCCTACTCCAGGGGTAGGCAACCTTGGTTCTTTTATGACTCGTGGACTTCAACTCCCAGAATTCCTGAGCCAACCATGCTTGCTCAGGAATTCTGGGAGTTGAAATCCACGAGTTATAAAAGAGCCAAGGTTGCTTACTCCTGCCCTAGTCCAACCCCTCCTGATTTCTTAGGGGTGTGTGTTTGGAATATGAACCAAACCCACCCTCAGTGTTAGGAAAATTTTAGGCACCGTTAAGATATTGAAGGAGGGAATTGGGAAAAAAACAATGAAAAGGAAAAAGAAGAAAATAATTATATTTTGTCCTTCATATTATGAAATTACCATTATAATGCTTAAGGTATTACACAACTGAACACTAGATTTATTACTTGAACTTATGTTCAACGTAACACAAAAAAGTGCTTATTTCAAAATGCATGATGGCTGACTGTGAAGTTCCAAAATCTTACCGTAATTAGATACTTTTGACTCCCATACATAACATATTGAGGGGCTAAACTGTAGATCATATAGCTGGTGTGAAGAACAATCAACAGAAGTATCATACAAAGAAAGAGAAGGGCTTGAGGTCGTGTCCTCCCCCGTCTGATCTTGTACAGCTAAAATTTAAAAATATATTCTTATATTAACACATTATGACATTAAAATAAGAAGCCTCTCAAAATATAATTTAAATAGGCTATCTAACCTTTTATTTGCAATTTCTGCTCCAAATTTTGAAGAATTACAGGAGTTTACTATTCCATACAAACAAAATATTGCTGGTGAATGGATGCTTTAACTCATGGGTCTCCAAATGTGGCAGAATTGGATGGGGAATTCTGGGAGTTGAAGTCCACAAGTCTTAAAGTTGCCAAGTTTGGAGACCCCTGCTTTAACTTAGCTAAATACACAATCATGTTAAAATATATCAATCTACAGGAAACTGGGCTATGCCAAGCCAAATTATGAGTACATCTACACTGGTGTTATATATTCTTATTCTTTCCCACACAACACATTATCCCATGTACTTAACAGCAAAGGACCAAACAAGGACAGGAAACAGAAGCAGCAAAGAAAGAGAAAAGAAGAGAGAGAACTACAGCAAAGCATGAATGAAATATCTGGCATGTGGCTTGGGATCTTATGCTTGGGTGATGTGGGCTCCTCTGGGGGATTAAACTAAATGCTACTGATCCTTTCTGTGGAGCTTATAGTTTGAAAGGCACTTAAAACCATCTAGTCTTTTCTTCTGTTTTTTTAATCTTTGTAAGCTGCTTATTTGAGATAGGTGGCTTTATAATTCACATAAATAAATGAAGAACAGTTCAATTTCTGCAAAGTGCTGTTGCTGCAGAATTGAGTGTTTGAGAAAATACTTCTACAAAATAAGTATCCATCTTTTTAAAGTATTTGTTCCAAAGGGAATCAGCCCACCAGATAGATTTACATATAATCAATCCAATTTTCTACAACATGAATTTCTTGTTACTGATTTTATTTTTAAAGCAGAGGTCTTTAACGTTTTCATGCGATGGACACCCTTTGAGAATGGATCCTTTCTTAGAAAAAAATGTATTTAAATGTACAAATAAAATACACAGATTGCATTACAAAGAAAGCAAAATGTATTTGTGCTCAAATACAGTTATCATTTATTAAAACGTGTAATATACTAATACAGTATAGGTAGTTCTTGACTTACAACCATTCATTTAGTGATCATTCAAAGTTACAACAACACTGAAAACAGTGACTTCTGATCCCTTTTCACACTTACGACCGTTGCAGCATCCTCTTGGTCATGTGATTAAAATTTGGATGCTTGGAAACTGGCTCATATTTATGACAGCTGCAGTTTCCTGGGGGGGGTCATGTGATCAGTTTTTGTGACCTTCTGACAAGCGAAGTCAATGGGGAAGCCAGATTTACTTAACAACCATGTGACTAACTTCACAACTGCAGAGATTCACTTAATAACTATGGAAAGAAGGGTCATAAAATGGAGCAAAACCCACTTAACAACTGTCTTATTTAGCAACAGTTGTGTTCATAAATTGAGAATTACCTGTTTATGTGAAAATACATTTATAATTTCCCCCCATCCAAATTCATGGATTCCCTGAAATCTATCCATAGACCTCTGTCCCACATGGACTACAGATGAAGAGTGGACTAAAGAAAAAAAATTGATGTATTATCTCATCTCTGTTTTAGCTTTTCAAATATTTGAAAACAAAACTGATGAGAATGGCTATCAGTTTTGGTGAGGGACAGCGAAAACCGCTTAGAGAGGGCTATAAAATATTATGAAGTGGTATATAAGTCTAAGTGCTATTGCTATGGTTAAGAATTGTTTCTTTTAAAGAAAATGAGCACCTACACATTCCATTTCTAGCAAGCGTCCATTTTCAAAGCAACCCTGCTTAAGTAAAAAAACGTACTGTATATTTAATAAAATGAAAAATGTTAAAAGTTAAGATATCCTGTTCACAATGCTTTAAAACCGAATCCACACTAATATCATATTATGAAATACAGTATGCTAAAACACTTTTAAAATTGCTACCTAGTTATTGTGGACAAATTCCAAGGCATTAAGTTTCAGAATAATTTGTGCACATGTTGTCTGGATGTGAAACAAAATGATTTACTCAAGCTAATATAACACCTGACAAAACAGGTATTTGTTTTAATACCTTTTCTGCATGTTTTCTAATATGCATTTGCAATGTTTTATTTATTTATCTAACAGGCTAAATTATTTGAAAAGTGCATGAAAGATACAATAAAGTTTACCCTTATCCAGAAGAACCATATACCCATGTTGCGAATTCCAGCCATTGAAGTAAATATGAAGTACATGATGATGGTAGTAATAAGAATATAGTCTAGGGGAAACACCTAGAATATAAATGCACTATATTTATACATCAGGAAAATTTATCACATTTCAATTATGAAACGTTGAGGAGAACACAAGCAATAAAATTAAAAATGTTACTAAATCCAATATATTCAACAAAGATAAGACAATGACAGAAAGTATCATCAAAAGAATTAATAGACTTAAACGGGTTCTTAAACAGTCAGAGTTTACGTGTTCTCTCAAAACCTCTTCTGCCCTCAATACTCATTTAGTTTATGGAAGGTGGGATAGCAATAATAGGACCCCTAGTGAATGGTGTGGGATCAAGAGATTCCCTGCTCCAAAACATGGATAAATAGCAACCTAATTTCAGGGCACAAATAGATTTAAAACTGTTTGCATGCTAAAAGAAGAAAACCCATAGTGGCAGGATACAATCCAGCTAGAACAATTTAGTTTATTATGTATAATTTATGATATTCTCAATCAATAATAATTTGAGTAGTTTTCAAAAGATAATTGTTATTTGTTGGAATCAGAGTTTTCCTTTTCTATCAGTCATTGTCAAAGATGTACATACTATTTCATGTATATTATTATATTATTATTAACTCATTTAATATTGAACTTATTTATTTTTAAAACTCTTTTCATATTATTAGCATTAAAGTCCTTAACATTCCGTAGAAATGTATTAGGAATTTTCCTGTACTGAGCTTTTACTTACTGTCTGTAGAACAGGTAACAGCATATTCAATGGATTGGTCAAATTAGTTCCCAGGATTATAAATCCAGAACCTATACCAGTAGAATGAAGCGCTTTATCCAAACTGTAAGAATTTAAGACATAAATTGTTATTGCTTGATTTTTTTTTTAAAAAAAACCTACATTTAAGTACATTTTCTGTATAAAGTACTTAAAAGTAAAAATATACACACTGACATCAACATTTTAGAAATTATCTTATAACATTTGATAGTGACAATGATTAAGAACGTAGCATTTTCTATTTCAAATTATGCACAGATGAGGATTGATACTTGTATACATCTTCTAAGCATATATTCAGAAAACATACCATTTTATTATAGAAAGTTCAGGAGATCCATGAAGTAGACAGTACTCTGATAATTATCACTCATGTTTCCATTAATATGAACTGTTGTATTATTAAAGTTCTCCAAGCTTGGTTTTGGGATTGCTAATATTTCATTACCCCACTAGGAAATACCATTGTAATGTACAGGAATTTTGGAAAAGGGCAAATTCCCTGCCAACCAAAACCCTCTTTCCAAAACTTCTGAACTGATGTCGTTACTAAGTAGGGTAATGAAACGTCACACTATACTACACATATTTGCTATAATAGCAATAAAATGAATTCCCTGTTAGTGCAAAATTTTATGAAAACCTTTTGCAAAGCCAGAAATATATATCTGGGTTTTTTATTTTTAAATTCTATGTATTATATGCCTTTTTTAAATAACCACTTTTCTACGCGCAAAATATTATGCATTACAATTCACACTCCTCCACTAACATCCTATATATTTTTGCACATTATGTTGCAGACATCTGTTTTTTAAAATCCTGGTATTTATACATGTTCACAGTGCCAACAACTCAGGAACAGTCCTCTAAAAACACTAGAGATAAGAGAGACATATACAGACTTCGTTTGTTTCTTTGTTTTAGGTTGCTCAAGTTTCATCCCACCCTTTCATTTTAATATATATGAAACAGGGATGCACAAACTTTTTATAAGTATGCCTTCAAGTCAATCCTGACTCCTGACAACTGTCTGGAGAAATCCAGGCAGTTTTCCTGGCAAGATTACTTTTCCCTTGCCTTCTCCCTACGGGTAAGAGTGAGTGACTGGCCCAAAGTCACCCGGCGCTCATTTTGTACCTAAATGGCTCTTATGCAAAACATACAGATTTTAAAATGGAATTCCATAGTATTCCAATCTCTCTCTAGTCCATTCATCAACTCTTATAGGCTGTAGCTTTTCAGGATTGTTCAACTATATCAAGAATAAATCTTGTAAATTTTAAGTAGTTTGAAGTTTCTCTAAAGGAAGCAAGTCTACCTGGGGGATGGGTCAACCCAGAATACTTCAAGCCACTTATGGTCTGCAGGATTTAGTTTTAGAAACTGGCAAAACACTATCAAAATAGAATAGTCCAGAATAAGAATGTTTCATTCCTATGATTTAAATAGGCGCGACAACAAATATTCCTTTAACAAATGTTGATAACAAACAAACAAATGAAGAAATAATGGTGATTATATTATCTTTATTAAGTCCCGTGTTTAAGCCATATAGTGTTTATTGTAAAGGCAACAAGATAATTGTAAATATTAGTTCACAGACCGATAAGGACGATTTCTAAATAGCTACTTGAATACGTCTCCATTATCTGTGAAATCCACTTCCCCAGCAGTTCATCAGAGAGCCATTAAAAAGAAACTAAGAAATTTATTGGGAAATAAATTGGTTCTAAATTGAAAATAGCTACTTGCTGAGATTTCTGTACCCATATCCCTTTCATCTCACGAAATCTTGTTAGAGCAGTGTGAGAGAATCTGAAGCAAAAACAACAACAACAACAACAACAAGCTTGCACCAAGTAGGACTTTAAGCTTTTTCTTTGCGTGTTTATTTGAATGTATAAGGATTTGAGAATATATTGAAATATGCTGTGCACACTGGTCATCCACTTTACTTTCTGTAATATTCACATGCTCAGATAGAAAGATCTGAAGAACTATTTGCTTAAAGGTGAATAGAACAGTCTTGCAGTCAATTCTTCTTTTATTATGCAAATAGCTGATTTACATTCAAATAAACATCCAAAGGTATTTTCAGTCTTCTGTGCTAAACAAGAGAATGGTGGGTACATGGCCCATGTTCTGTTCACTTTCAAGCTCACAGGTTTCTGGTGAATACCTGTAAGGACATTCATATCAAGTATTGGCCTGAGTCTACATGAATGATATTCAGCAGATACATTTTAAAATGCGAAGCACATGTTATATACTTACTTCGACAGGAAGAGAGAAATAGTGAACAGCAGGGCCACAAGTATAAAAAATATTCCCCATACAATCTAAAACACAAATAAGTTTGAAAAATAGTTTAGCACATTCTCAACAATGCACAGTTTGTTCTGCTATTATTTAATAAGATAAATATGAGAAATTGGATAGCGGGGCATTTTCTCTCATAATTAAAAATGTAGCAGCTACAGTATTTCCAAAGCCTCTGCTAATAATATCAGAAACTACTCTGAATTCTGCAACGCATATTTGCTCATGTAAATCAAAACAAGAAAACCAGATATATTATCTTTATAGAGATCCAAGATAATAGTTGGAAATCAAGTGATATGTTAACCTGAATTCTTCAATTCATTTTCCAAAAAAAGAATTTTCTCCAGATATAGGACAAATTAATTTGTTCAGCTGATCATTTACGGAAAGATCTGCTGAAATGACAACGTATGTTTAAATCTTTCCAAAAAGTAGAGAAAACAATTAAAGCACATATTTATGTATTTTTATTGATACACTAGCACAGTGATGGCGAACCTTTTAGAGGCCGAGTTCCCAAAAACTGGCCCCAGCCCCGCTCCACCCCCCACCCCGCCCCCACCCCACCTGCCCACAGGGCCACTCACTGCCTCCAGGGCCTGCCGCAGATCGCCCAGCAGCGCCATGGTGGCCATCTCCTCTGCCCGCACCCCACAGCATCAACTTGTCTACGCTGCCTGGCTGCCATGTCCTTGGCTGCACTGCTCCATGTGGGCCATGCTCAGGAGTGACTCTCCTCCAGAGGGGCTGCTGGTGAGGGGGTCACGGGGGGAGGAAAGGCTGGGGCAACGGCATGTGTGCCATAGGTTCGCCACCACTGCACTAGCATGTGTAAACCATCTAGTCCATGAAGACTTAGACAACAGATGAAGCACATAAATACATGTTCATATGAGGTGCCACTTTCACAAATGAGAAAAATTATTTTAGAGATAATTTCTGCCTAGCGAACTTTCAGTTTTTTTAAAAAAATGTCTTCTTTAAATAATTAAAGCAGTAAGACCAGAGCTCAGTGGAATGCTGAAGTCTTAATGTATCTGTATATTCTGCAAGAGAGAATTATCTAAATTTAAATGATTTGGAATAATGTATTATTATGTAATATGATCCTACTTGTGTTTTAGTATTTTTGATTTAAAAGTAGATTCGATTTTATGATTCTCATTGTTCACAACAATGTAAAGCCTATTTAAATACCGTACTTTGTTTACATTATAGCTGCTGCAACTATAAGATTACTGCTCGTTACCTACTGGTACATGATTACACCATTATTTACAAATATTTGATTCAAAATCTTGACTCTGATCTTTATACTAAATAAATGTAAGAGGCCTTAACAAGTGCAGAGTGCTCAGCAAGTTTCCACAAGTGTTTGGAAAGATGGACATTTGATCTGTGTACTGCAAAGCAATCTTCATATACTACATATAACTTTCACTACAAAGAAATTGTATCTTTATATCTTTCACTACAAAGCAATTATTTTTATGACAAAATAAGACTTTTTTGGTGGAAATTTAGTCCTATATGAGAGTTGAACTTTGCTATCAAACATGCCTATTACAAAGTAATGGTGTATTTTCAGCATCATTTGGGTGTAATTCTTTTTATGGAAAAGTGAAATCCCTAGTGTCTTACTTTTTATTTCTACATTCTGTTGGTATCTTTCCTTTTTCCACATTCATACCATGATGGTTTTCTAACACTAAATTGAATTTGTTGCTTATTTGTTCATCCTGCAAATCTGTTCACACATTTCTCCTCTTGTCTACCCGTTTTACACTGATCCATTATTTGTCCAATTGTAACAGTAACTTAAACCATAAATCTCTCTCCAATTTCAAAGTTAGTCTGTGCGCTTGCTAAATAGAATCTGACCCCATGGCACTATACATAGTTCCAAGTAAATCAAGAAACAAGAGAAGAATCAATCTGATGCATACTCTCATTTAATGCACTGTATTAGAGTCCCCCCATTCTCCACATCTTGATTTTAGCTACAGTTCTGAATCATGATATATTTTTAACAATAAAGACATGGAAATATAGCAAAAGGTTATCTATTTATATTGTAGGTGTACTGATGGGGGTGGGGGGTTGCAATTTTGCAAATTTTACTCCCGTTGCCCAAATTTGAGTTAGCAGAGGCTATCTCTAGATCTGTCTTCTAAAGAATTGTATCAGGGCTATGCACAGCATCTCAATGAATGATTGCCTGAAGCAATAAGGCTCCCTCCCTGCTTCTAAACAGCAACTCAGAGGCAGAGCATTCCAGCCCGGCAAGCTCATAGATGCCCAGCTAGCATCCAATCTCTTTTGCAGTTGTTTATGTAAACATTTATGTTTACAGAACAGGCAGTGTTCACGTTTATGAAACAAGATAGCTGGGATTAAACCTAAGGGACTGTACTCCCCAGAAGCATTTTCAAATCATTATTACTTTCTTAGCATAGCCATTTATTTTTCCACTCTATTTTCTTTCAAAACATATTGATTAATTTTATGCAGTGGAAAAAGATATTGCTTGCTGACACATCACACTCAAAGTATGTTTGGGCATAAGGTCTAAGCAATAGAGTTTTATTTAAAAAAAACAACAACAACTCAAAAACAATGGTTCCACTTTGTCTCATGTTGTGGAGCCAGTAAAGCCATTCTGATCTTCTGAGTGGAGTCTGTCTCTAATAATATGAGCATTTTATGATATTGGTAAGAAGAAAGTTTTCCTATAATACAAAATGAGGGTCTTTACTTTCAGGGGCCTCATGGCACCACAGAACTTTGTCCAGCAGCTTTTCTCAATGTATTCCAGACGCCGTCCTCTTTTGCGAAGGCTTCTTAATTTGTCTTCAAATTGTTGCAGCATTTGCCTGTCTCGACTTGGTAAAGGCCGGCCATCTCTACACTAGTAAGGAAAATCATGCAACATTTGTATATCAGTATTACAATCTTTTTGTTTAATCCCAATAATTACTTGAGTTCTAATTTCATTTCAGTGTGTTTTTTAAAAATCTTTTTAAAAACTAAGAACTCATTTCTAAAGGGATTGGCTTTCCAATTCAACAGTACTATAAATGAAATATTACACCAAAATCTGAGAATTTTATCTCTTTTAATACAAACTTCATTTAAATAAACAAAAACTCATGGAATAACAGAATACAAATTAATAATACAAAGAACTATATATACTAGAGCAATAACTTTTAATAGTTCTTAAGAGTTATCAGCAAATAAATTACTTTACTAAGCTACTAAAATGTGAATGAATGCAAATGAAATCCTGCATTAATACCTATTGTATTTTCACTTCCCCATTCCTTCTACTTCCTCACTCTCCTCCTCTCCTCCCTCTCTCCTCCATCTTTCTACTTGCTTATCCCTCTCCTCTTCTTCTCAATCAGATGCGGTCTAGGGGAAAATGCCCGAGCAATCCTCTATCACCAAAAGAAAAAAAAAAAAAAAAGATGAGAGGGGGATGTGGTTTGGGGGGAAATGGGTGAGCAATGCCGGAATTTGTGTGTTGTGTTTTAACTTGTTATGTATCTGAATTTTTTTTTCTAATGATTGTAATGAAAATAAAATAATAAAATAATAAAATTTTAATTAAAAAAATACCTATTGTATTTTGAAATAATGAGATAAAATTTTATTTTAACATACATTGCATTTTTCAGGTGTCCAAATTCCAAACTAATAATGAGTGAAATTTAAGTGATTTTAGAAAAAGTGCAGAACTAAAGTCCGAAAAGTAATGTTTTAAAATAGCACCAAACCTTTGATTTAATTCTTTGAATATTTTGCTCAACATCTTCAATATCTTCAGTGTTCTCCAAGCGTTCATAACTAGCATTTCTTGTACCTTTTATAAGATTTAGAGGCAAAGCAGACATTCCATAAGCCTAGAGAAAAATGAAACAGAGCGTTAACTGAACCAACATTTCTGATTGTCTTAATTAGTGCAAAATCAATATTTTAATTCTAGCATCAAATGTTCAGTCATATTCTTTTATGACAATTTTACCAAATATTCACAAAACATGAAGACAGTTTCTGAACCAATCTCTCCTTACCAGAGAGTAAAGTACAGGACACAGAATTAACCCAAAATACTGGCAAAAACTGGATGGATGGATGGATGGATGGATAGATGATAGATAGATAGATAGATAGATAGATAGATAGATAGATAGATAGATAGATAGATAGACAGACAGATAGATAAAATGCCACATGTGGAATACTGCATCCAGAAGGACTGGGGTGACATGATAGCAGTGTCCCAATATCTCAGGGGTTGCCACAAAGAAGAGTTATTCTCCAAAGTACCTGAAGGCAGGACAAGAAACAATGGATGGAAACTAAACAAAGAGAGAAGCAACCTAGAACTAAGGAGAAATTTCCTGACACTTAGAACAATTAACCAATGGAACAACTTGCCTCCAGATGTTGTGAATGCTCCAACACTAGAAGTTTTTAAGAGATTGGACAGCCACTTGTCTGAAATGGTATAGGGTTTCCTGCCTGAGCAGGGGATTGGACTAGAAGACCTCCAAGGTCCCTTCCAACTCTGTTATTCTATTCTATTCTATTCTATTCTATTCTATTCTATTCTATTCTATTCTATTCTATTAACTTAATAAAAAGAGAGAAAATTAAATAAAGTTTTATTGGTCCACAATAAGACAGTTATTTGGAATTTCTATACCCAGATTAAGATTGCATGCTTGTTTTTTTAAAGAACGTTGAAGGAAGGAATATAGCAACAAAGTTCCTATAAACACAGGAGAACACAACCGTAACTAATCTATAACTAAGATTCAAGGAATCAAAGTAAAAAAATATAATACTAGATTTTTATTGCACGTTACCAAATCTGGAAAAAAGTAATAAAGTTAGAAAATAATCCCAGGAGCTTCATCTTTATTGATTATGTATCATCCAATCATCTTCGATTCCTAACAATCACATGTATAGATTTCTCCAAGATGAACTATGCCTAACCTCTTTCAGGTCTCCCAATGGTGCACTCATCGCCACTACAATTCAGTCCATTCATATTGCTGCTGGTTGTCTTCTTTTTCTCTTTCTTTCCATCTTTTCCAACATTCGAGACTTTTGCAGAGAGCTGGGTCTTTACATACTGTGCCAGATTATTTGAGCTTAGTCATTTATGCCTTGAATAAAAATTCTGGATTGATTTATTTAATGATCCATTGCATTGTTTTCTTGACTGTCCATGGTATTCTCAGAAGTCTCCTCTAACACCAGAGTTCAAAAGCATCACTACTCTTCCTATCTTGCTTCTTTAAAACCCAACTTTTGCTTCCACAAAGTGTCACAGGGAATATCATGGCTTGCACATTTCTCACTTTTGTAGGTACAGATACATCAGGGCTGAATATCTTTTCAAAGGTCTTCATGCATGCTCTACTGAGTGCTAGTCTATTCTTTTTTTAAAAAAAAAAAAACAAGTTTTATTAATTTTCCATTTTTACACTGCTTCAGATATTAAGGAAGCAACATGGTGGTTGGGTAATTCATAGTCCAATAACAAGCTTATATGTCAATTTACATCATCAAAATGACATATGTCAATTTACATCATCAAAAATTTCCTCTCTGTTTCCCTTAGTTATTATACCACATTCAAATTAATACATTGCTAGTTATAACTCAATCATTTAAAACATTTATCAATCACTTTTGACTTATATATCTCCAGATCCTGTTTTTAATTTTTATTTGATTTCAGTTGCAGTATTCCAGTTAGCTTAATGTCCATAGTGTTTAGGTTTCGGATAGCCCACGGTTCCCTTAGTTCATTACAAAATAGTTATCATATCTAAAATACACTTATTATTTATTCAAATAAATTCTTAATTTACTTCACAATCATATTCTACTTCTCATTCTAATATCATCACTTACTAATAAAATAACCTTTGTCCTCTGAACCCATCTTCTATATTATAATTCAAAACTATTATTCTAGTAACTAATTTATTTCCCTTATAGGTCTAAATCCTGAATATTAAATCAATTAATGTCTTTTAAAATCTCCTTAGCCCATTAAGTGAGATTTTAGGTTTTTCCATTAAAGGTCACATAAAGAAAACCATTTTTTAAATCTAACTCTGATCTTCCTTTTGTGCCAAACGGGCTTCCATAGCAGAGCCTTTAAATCCACGGGTGGATCTCCCTTCATTTGTACATATGTCATTTGAATCAAGGGAGACCATCCAATTATCAACTTGTCAAGGAAGCTAGTCCCTTCATAGTCATTAGATTGTTGGCCTGATAGTTTGAGTTTCCATATTTGGGAAAGTTCAGGCTGGTCTTCTTCTTCTGGTTTCAGCTAGTTTAGGTACAAAGTCATATTCAGTGTTATAGTTGTTATTTGATCATCTGGATTATCTGAATTCTCAGTATACTGTGTATGTAAGTCTTCAGCACCTTCCGTCTTAGTATTGCTTTCTTCAGTTTCTGTTGCTGTTGAAATTGCAGATTTATTAGATGAAATCAAGGTTTGGATATCAGAGTTCTGAGTAGATTGTAGCTGATATTTTTTAAAGTTCACTTTAGTGTTAATTCCTTCTTCTGTTGCCTTTTAAGTTGTAAGTTCATCTGTTGAAGTCTGGGCTGCATTTTGTAGCTTTAAGGTGGCACGTATATCTTTCTGTCTGGAATTCATTAGCTCAGTAGCGTCTAAGATTTTTTCAAGTATAAGTTTGAAGTTAAGCTGTGGGTGGTATTCCTCCATTTCTGTGGTATTTACAGATAGTCCTTTAGTGGAGGCTATTTTTAATAAAAATCAGTAAATATCCACCACCACTATAGATAATTGTTTTCACCACCTAGCTGTTTCAAGTTCTTATCTTTTTTGATGTCAAGGACAAATTTTAGTCTCACAAATCTCCCAATTTAAAAAAAAAAAAATCACTTCCTGTACCAAAGTTCGCCATAAGATGTCCCCAGTAACATGTAAAATTAAGCTTTTATCCGGTTTAAAAAGGAGGAAAAAATGTTCTTTTTTTTTTCAGCTTAGCAAATAGGCAAAATGATAAGTCTCTATAAGAATAAAGAACCTTTTGGGAGCCCAGGTATCCAGAAATTACAAGTCCAAATATTTAGTTGTTTAATTTAGTTTTTTCCTTAGCTTTATATTCCCAGAGTAGGCAGAAGCCGCAGAATTGAGAAAAGGGAAAAAGGTATTTCCAAAGGCTTTTACAGGAAAGTAGTTGGGAAGCAGGAAAGGTAAAGTAAGGTCTCACCCAATTCCTCCACATTGCTTTTGTCGTGCTTAGTAGTGCTTTTGGCTTTTGGCTGGAACGGCTTGGTGTTAATGGCCGATCTTTTCTTCATCGGCCCAAAGGAGCTGCCTCGGCTCCAACGGAAGGACTATCGCCCTTCCACAAGCAATCAAGGGTCCTTCTCAGCGGTGGTCGCCCCTCCAGGGCGACTTTCAACCCTTTCCAGGGTCTTCCGACGGAGAGAAACCGGACGGCAGAGAGAGCAGTCTCTTTGCAGGCCCACCGGCGCCACGATCACAGACCGGAAGCTTGTGCTAGTCTGTTCTTTACATTTTTGATTATCCAAGCAATGTCATCAGCCCATTAAAAAGAAAAATATTTTAACCTATCAAAAGCAGCACTGTGGGAGACAATGCGGGCCAAAAATAGGCAAGGAATTGGTAAGAGAACACCTATCCACTTTGGGTAAGTTCAGTTCTCTGGGACCAGATGGTTTACATTCCAGAGTACTGAAGAAGCTGGCAGATGCGCTCTTGGAACCATTGAATGAAATCTTTCAGAGCTCTTGGAGCACGGATGAACTGACGTGGTTCCAATCTTCAAAAAAAGGAAAAAAGTAGATTGAGGAAATCACAGACAAATCAGCTTGACATCAATACCTGGGCATATCCTGAAAAAAAGCAGTGGATTTGTGAGCACCTAGAAAGGCTTTTCTAAAATTGATGACATCTCTTTTCTATATAGAGTGCTAAACTGTGCTGGATAATCCTAAACATAATTTTGCTAACATGTGAAATTAAGGATACTGTACAATGTTTGCACACTTTATTGCACACCTTTGATACTGCTCTGTAGTTTGACTTATTCCAATTGGCTGGCTACTATGTCATTCTTCAGATTTGCTGACATAGCTTAGAGCAGCGGTTCTCAACGTTTGTGTGACGGCGACCCCCGTCACACAAACGTTATGGGCATGCACGGCGCGGCGCGCATGGGGGAGGGGCCCCCGCGCGTGGCGCGCATGCGCGGCGCCACCCCCGCACGCGGTGTGCATGGGGGCGGGGCCCTCGCGCGCGGTGCGCATGCGCGGTGGCGCCCCACGCGCGGCGCGCATGCGTGGCGCCGCCTCCCCAGAGGCGCGCCGCTGCCCCCACGCGCGGCGCGCATGCGTGGCACCGCCCCCCGGAGGCGCAGCGCGCCCCCGGAGGCGACAAAATGGCGGATCACCGCGTTTGGCGACCCCACAAAAGAGGTCGATCGACCCCAAATGGGGTCGCGACCCATAGGTTGAGAACCGCTGGCTTAGAGCCTTGAATGATTCTGTTGCTTGCCATATTTCAATGGATATTCCATCAGTTCCTGTAGTCTTCAATTTGGTAATAATTGGAGTGCTGATCTAACTTCATCTTCTAGTACTAATGATTCTTGTAAGTAAAGAATATCTTCTAAGGTATCTTAGATCTCTCTCTCTCTCTCTCTCTCTCTCTCTCTCTCTCTCTCTCTCTCTCTCTCACACACACACACACACACACATTATTGAAAGTATCTCTTGTAGTCCAAAAATATTGCCCCTCAAAATAAAAAGATTAAAAACAGCAATCACAGCCCACAACAGCAATATTCATAAAAAGCCTCAGAAAATAATGTAA